GTTATTAATTTTTTACTAAAATATGGATATTTAATTTATCACTGTTTTAAGTTGACGAAGAATATTATACTTGGAAAATGAATTTAAGAGAAGGATATTTAGGTGAAATTAACGTTGAGTTTTGTTCAGGTGGAATTGTCATTGCGTATACTTAATTATCCTCATTAGGCTGGATTAATTACTATTGATTGTGTGTGATATATTTAGTTAGGCAATATAGGCCAGTATCTCTGGTACCGTTTGATTGCCATATAGCGTGATCGCGGTGTTTAAATTTCGCGAAAAGTGTCGTTATATATTGGACATATAGAGATTAAATAATGAGATTTCTTGCGAATTTTCTCGTCGATAAAAATCGGTGACAAATCGGTAAAATCGAGGTGGAGTTTGTGTAGTTTTGCGTTCGAGAAACAGAGGAAGAAAGTAGACATGTACCCAAGTGAGAGTTGGGTTTCTTGCGAAGGCACAAATCGCGTAAATATTGCACCTATTGCGGCTGTTACCGATTCGACAAAATTATCTAATCAGGAAAGAAATCGTATCGTTTAAAGTTCAAACTCTGAACTACGTATGTATAAAACTAAAGACTCGGTGAAAGCCGAGTCTCAACTAGGCTAAAGGATACGGATCTTTTATCGATTCGATAATTTCTACTGAATCAGCAGGGGATAAAATTTACACGATTCCATACCTGGAAAATAGGTAACAGAGAAAATTTACGCAATTCCACAACTCGAAATCGGTAATACACTAAATTTACGCGATTCTATTTATATAATACTGAATCAATGGGGGATAAATATTTACACGATTCCATATTTCGAAAATAGGTAACATCAAATTTACGCAATTCCATAACTCGAAATATTTAACAGACAAATTTTACGCGATTACATATCTGGAAAATAGGCAACACATAAAATTTACGCAATTCCATAACTCGAAATCTTCAACAGACAAAATTTACGCGATTACATATCTGGAAAATAGGCAACACATAAAATTTACGCAATTCCATAACTCGAAATCTTCAACAGACAAAATTTACGCGATTACATATCTGGAAAATAGGCAACACATAAAATTTACGCAATTCCATAACTCGAAATCTTCAACAGACAAAATTTACGCGATTCCATTTATATTCCACTGAATCAGTAGGGGATAAAATTTGCGCGATTCCATATCTGGAAGATAGGTAACACATAAAATGTACGCAATTCCATATCTGGAAAATAGGTAACACATAAAATTTACGCAATTCCATAACTCGAAATCGGTATTAGACAAAATTTACGCGATTCTATTTATATTCTACAGAATCAGTAGGTGATAAGATTTACACAATTCCATATCTCGAAAATTGGTATTAGATAGGTAACAGATAAAATTTCCGCAATTCCGTAACTCGAAATCGGTAACAGACAAAAGTTTACGCGATTCTACTAATATTTTATTCAATCAATAGGAGATAAAATTTACACGATTCCATATCTCGAAAATAGGTAATAGATAGGTAACAGATAAAATTTCCGCAATTCCGTAACTCGAAATCAGTAAGAGACAAAATTTACGCGATTCTATTTATATTCTACTGAATCTATGTGGGATAAAATTTACACGATTCCTTATCTCGAAAATAGGTAACAGATCAAATTTACGCAATTCCATAACTCGAAATCTCCGTAATAGACAAAATTTAATTTAAATTTATATTTATATCAAATATTCAACTTTCTCAGTGTATATAGGTATATAGGTATGGTTGTTTCTTTCCCTCGTTTGCATAATGCAAGGAAGCATAAACGTTGTCGTCGATTATAACCGATTTGACGAAATTGCCGAATTGGTCAGAAAACCGCATCATCTCAGCTAACTGTTCTTCGTACTTAAGATAAAGAGCACTCACGCTGCTCCATACTTTTCGATAAGATTTTTCCAATGATCCCTGGCACTCGAACAATTCATACGTTAATACGTTAACCTGTCAATACGTTGTTAACACATTCACTGTCGCACCATTACTATTGCACATGACCTTTTCACAATAATACACTGAATTTTTAAATTTATCACATCGCAATATCAACAAATAAGATATAAGTATATACTTGAAAATAGAACTACTTCAATATACTCAATATACTCCCTGATACTCCTACAAAAATTGACAAATATTATCATTTATTTGACACAAAGTCGGTTCTTTTATTTCAATTTAATGCATTTTAACCCTTGAATATGATCGTACAAGTGACAATACACTTTTATTATTTAATTAGGTCGAATATTTTTGAATAATTGATTTTTGACAGACCCTACATAAAAACTTTATTAAAATAAAATTCTATTAATTTTATATTACCTTTTCTTTCTTTTAATTATAATTTATTTTATGTTAACCCTGTTGAGGCTTTTTACGCTTTTCGAATTAGGTGATAGCTGTTTCTCCTTTAATTTATAGATGCTTAATACTCTATGAACGTTTCTCGTGGTACATATCTTTTACCTGCGATCGAGACTCAAACGCAGCAATTTTACATTAGACACTCTTACCAGTCTTGACACAGCCAACCCACACCATTTGACCCAATATACGTACAAACTAACCCGAACCTAGCACAACGAATAATTCTCGATGCCTGAAATTATGAAGAAATTGAAATCTAAATTTTTACCAGGCTTGATACAAGCAACCCACACCATTCGACCCAATATACATACATACTAACCCGAACCACATAGCACTATGAATAATTCGTGATGCCTGAAATCACGAAGAAATTGAAAACTATGGTCTTACAAATCTTGACAGAAGCAACCCACATCGTTTGACCCAATATACATGTACATACTAACCCGAACCACATATCACTATCAATAATTCGTGATGCCTAAGATCGCGAAAAAATCTAAATCTAAATTTTTCCCAGTCTTGACACAACCAACCCACACCATTCGACCTAATACACACGCACACTAGCACAACGAATAATTCTCGATGCCTGAAATCATGAAAAAATTGAAATCTATATTTTTACCAATCTTGACACAAGCAACCCATACCATTCGACTCAATGTACATACACATTAACCCGAACCTAACACAACAAATAATTTTCGATGCCTGAAATCATGAAGAAATTGAAATCTAAATTTTTACCAATCTTGACACAAGCAACTCATACCATTCCACTCAATATACATATACACTAACCCGAACCTAGCACAACAAATAATTTTCGATGCCTGAAATCATGAAGAAATTGAAATCTAAGGTCTTAGAAATCTTGACACAATCAACCCACACCATTCAACCCAATATATACACACACTAACCCGAACTACATATCACTGTCAATAATTCGTGATACCTGAAATCACGAAGAAATTGAAACCTAAATTTTTACCAGTCTTTACACAACCAACCCACACCATTCGACTCAATATACATATACACTATCTCGAACCTAGCACAACAAATAATTTTTGATGCCTGAAATCATGAAGAAATTGAAATCTAAATTTTTACCGATCTTGACACAAGCAACCCACACCATTCGACTCAATATACATACACACTAACCCGAACCACATAGCGCTATCAATAATTCGTGATAGCTGAAATCACGAAGAAATTGAAATCTAAGATCTTAGAAATCTTAACACAAGCAATCCACACCATTAGACCCAATATACACACATACTAATTCGAACCACATATCACTGTCAATAATTCGTGATGCCTGAAATCATGAAGAAATTGAAATCTAAATTTTTACCAATTTTGTCACAAGCAATCCACACCATTCGACTGAATATACATACACACTAACCCAAATCTAGCACAACAAATAATTTTCGATGCCTGAAATCACGAAGAAATTGAAATCTAAGGTCTTAGAAATCTTGATACAAGCAACCCACACCATTCGACCCAATATACACACATACTAATTCGAACCACATATCACTGTCAATAATTCGTGATGCCTGAAATCTAAGGTCTTACAAATCTTGACACAAGCAACCCACACCATTCGACTCAATATACAAGTACATACTAACCCGAACCTAGCACAACGAATAATTCGCGATGCTCGAATTCATGAAGAAATTGAAATCTAATGTTTTACAAATCTTGTCACAAGCAACCCACACCATTCGACCCAATATACACACATACTAATTCGAACCACATATCACTGTCAATAATTCGTGATGCCTGAAATCACGAAGAAATTGAAATCTAAATTTTTACCAATCTTGACACAAGCAACCCATACCATTCGACTCAATGTACATGCACATTAACCCGAACCTAGCACAACAAATAATTTTCGATGCCTGAAATCATGACGAAATTGAAATCTAATGTCTTACAAATCTTGACACAGGCAACCCACACCATTCGACCCAATATACACACATACTAATTCGAAGCACATATCACTATCAATAATTCGTGATGTCTAAGATCGCGAAAAAATCTAAATCTAAATTTTTCCCAGTCTTGACACAACCAACCCACACCATTCGACCTAATACACACGCACACTAGCACAACGAATAATTTTCGATGCCTGAAATCATGAAGAAATTGAAATCTAAATTTTTACCAATCTTGACACAAGCAACCCATACCATTCGACTCAATGTACATACACATTAACCCGAACCTAGCACAACAAATAATTTTCGATGCCTGAAATCATGACGAAATTGAAATCTAATGTCTTACAAATCTTGTCACAAGCAACCCACACCATTCGACCCAAGTATACATACACACCAAGCCGAACCTAGTACAACGAACAATCCGCGATGCTTGAAATCGCGAAGAAATGTAAATCTAAACAACCTGCTCTGACATTCGGTATCTGCGTGCTGTTACAGATTCGGTGGCACAGACGATTACCTTCACGAGCCTCGCGTTCTTCCTGAGTTCGGGCCTGAACACGGTTTCAGGTGCACCTGCTTACGGCCTCCGCACCGCCGTATCCAACGCGAATAACATGGACCGGTGGTTACAACCTTGCGGCAACCCGGTGGCGATGCAGTTCAAGAGGATGCCGCAGAGGCACAGCGTGCATAGGACGCTGAAGAGGGTGCGGACGCAGCTGCGTATAGCCCAGAATCACTTCAGAATGCATCTGAAGGATGTGCACGAGATATACTCGAAGGTAAAGCGTGACGTTTCGACCTGACCGCGATTCGTAATTAATCGCTGTCCGCGTCGCGTCGGGGTAAAAGAGAGTGGGCGGCTCTTTCAGAGAGGCTCGCACGTGCGCACCGTTGCTAGTGCTAAAGTCCTACTTTCCGTTCTGCCTGTAATTTGCATTTGTTACGATGTGCCACGCATGAGCGTAATTGCATTTTTTCCACCTTTTTTCTCTCTCCTTTTCTTTCTCTTTTCTTTTTTCCACTGCCTTTTCGAGGGACGAGTGTTCCGCGTTGCTGCAGAGTCTCTGTGCCCCGGTAACATTGTTGCAGTTTCTCCAACAAATTTCTTCATCAGTATTGTGTATTCACACCGTTTAGTGTCACGAATATTACTATGGTTTCGAGTAACGGATAATTGCATCTTTTCTTCCTTTATTCTTCCTTTCTTCTTTCTTTCCTCGAGGAACGAGTGTTCCACGTTACTGCAGAGTCTCTATGCTTCGGTAACATTGTTGCAGTTTCTCCAACAAATTTCTTCATCAGTATTGTGTATTCACACCGTTTAGTGTCACGAATATTACTATGGTTTCGAGTAACGGATAATTGCATCTTTTCTTCCTTTATTCTTTGTTTTTCGGTGATTTTTCTTTCTTTCTTCTTTCTCTTCTTGAGGAACGAGTGTTCTATGTCACTGTAAAGTCTCTATGATTCAGTAACATCGTTGCAATTCCTCGAACAGAGTTTTTTATTCGTATTGACACTGTTTAGTGTCACGAACATTGGTGTCGTTTTGAGTAACGGATAATTGCATCTTTTTAGCATAGAATATGCTTTGCACGAGGCCTTTGGCGATTTTCTGTAACGCTCTTATCTGTTACGCTTTGCGATCCTATGGATGACGTCACTGCTGATACATATTTAAGCAGTGGAAGAGATAATCGTGACAGTTACAGTTTGCGAGGTGATTGGTAATCATCGTTCTCGAAATGAACCGATTCGGCAATCTCGGTGCAATTCTAGCTGGCGAAACCGTTGAAAAGTTCTTGACAGTTACCGCTGATAGAAATCCACCAGCTGCATCTGCACAAACTTCGGGCGGGCGTGCAGCAGTTAATAGTTCATGGTGTATGGAGGAACACGGCGAACGGTTCCAAGTGTCGTGTTGGATCCAAACGAAGTGAACGGGAAAACCTAGAACTGATACAAACTTTTTGCGATCGTGTGAAGACGACTATACGGTTCCAGAAGATGCGTCAGGCTGCTAAAGAACGAATGCGAAAATTAAGAGAAAGGAAAAGGTTGCAGTTGTCAAATGGAAAGACTGGGGACGAATCCGAATCAGTCGTAAACACAGAGCAAAACGAAGCTAGATTTGTTGACGTAATTTCTGTCAATGGAGAAAAAGAAGAGGGTACCGGAACATACCGATTATCATGTATGGCGATTTAAATCTCGGTCTACAAACGCCTAAAGGAAAAGCTTTCGTTAATTTCACGAACGAAAGCTTCAATTTGAAATTGAAAAGTGATCCCTCGATTCCTGCTACACGAGAGGGTACAACTCTGGATGCTGTATTTACTCGCAACGTAGAAAATTTACCTTGCGTTAATTTCGTATCGTATTTCAGCTATCACCAGCCGATATTAGCAGCAGTTGATGATATTTGATCATTTTGTCAGAATTAAATTTACCTGACTTTTATGTTTGTAAATTTATGTACCTCAATAGCATTAAGATTTGTGGTTAACTGTGCAATGAAAATAAAAAATTTTAATTAGGCATTCCTTTATTCTGTTCAATTCCGCAGCGGCAGTACTCATTCCTTAATTTTTGACAGTGAACAGCGAAAGGTGCAAATTTGGCATATTCTATGCGGGGCTTTAAATTCGTTGAAGTCGGCCACTTTTTCTTTTTTCTCTTCTCGAGGAACGAGTGTTCCATGTCACTGCAGAGTCTCTGTGATTCAGTAATATCCTTGCAGTTCCTCGAACAGAGTTTTCGATTCGTATTGACAGCGTTTAGTGTCATGAACATTGGTATAGTTTTGAGTAAGGGATAATTGTATCTTTTCTTCCTTTCTTCTTTGTTTTTCAGTGATTTTTCTTTCTTTCTTCTTTCTCTTCTCAAGAGACGAGTGTTCTGTGTCACTGCAAAGTCTCTGTGATTCAGTAACATCGTTGCAATTCTTCAAACGGAGTTTTTGATCAGTATTAACACCGTTTAGTGTCACAAACAGTACTCTGGTTTTGACTAACGGATAATTGCATCTTTTCCTCCATTTTTCTCCATTTTCCTCCATTTTTTCCATTTTTCTGTGACTTGCACTTTTTTCTTCTTTTCTTTTTGGGACACGAGTGTCCACGTTGAAGAAAAGATTGACAGTTTGATTCAGTAACGTTACTGTAGTTTCTCGAACAGATCTTTTGAATCGTGTTGACAGATTGGTGTTTGAACACGTGATTTTGGCTAAAAAATGCATCGTTTCAGTATTATTTGTGATCTAATTTATTCTTAATTTGGAAATGTATTTATACATGTTCTTTTCATGTGATGTGAAATTATAGAGAAAATTAATATTGAGAAATACATTTAGTAATGGCAATTAGGAAACAAATGATGCATCTGCAAATTTCGGTATATTATCTATGTTAGTGAATCTTCTGAATATTCGTAAAGTTTACTGTATTTAATATTTACAAATGCGATTAAGTTCTTGAATATACGTGGATATACGTGACAATGCAAGTGGTTTAAAATATTCAATATTAGTTTATGCTATCTGTAGAAGATTTGTAGAAAATATTCGAAACCAATTTAACTAAAACTAATAAACGATTTGAAATAACTGGGTTCACAATTTCTCCTTTCGGAGTTATTAAAAATATTCAACTGCTTTTAATATATATGATTATTCATAATAAATAACTTAATTATTATTATTCACAACAATATTATTATTACTAATAATAATAATTAAATTATGAAATCATATATATATATTAGTATATAATATTTCTTTAAATTATTATTATTCACGTATGCAATACTCAGGCACGAATTACGAATCGATAGTTTTACTGTTAAATTATTTTTTCGATAATAGTATTTCAGAAATTATACTCTTTATAAAAATTGTAAAATATAACAAAATTATCTAATGAAATAATAAAATTGTTGCAAATAGTGCAATCGCAGATATTGCACTAAAGCAGCGGAAAAATGACGTAGTATAGCTTGCAATGCGATATAAAGTAGCAGGAAAGGAGATTCTGCACCCTTACGGTTGAAATTCCTTCGTTAATTTCCACGAACAATGACGCAATTTGTACTTGTGTAACCCGAATGGAATCAAGTGCACGAATTACGGCGTCGAACACATGGAAAATATTTAGACAAAACAATATCTCGACTTTCATTCGCAGGTGTACAAAGTGCTGAAGGGGCAGTACAGAATGCCATGGCTCCCGGAGAAGGAGTTCGAGTGGTATTTCAGGGAGGTTTGGTGTCTCGAAAAGGGAAAGAAAGCTGACCGTGCGCTTCCGCATCTTCACGATTCGCTCCAAAGGTTCGCCATCACGTTCCATCATCTCAGAACTTTCCGTCTGAAATCTAATATTAACGCCGATCACACGATGAACAGGAGAAACGAGATCATTAATCAAATGCACAATGAGATCCTTAGGGTACGGAAAAATTTATATCATTCTACTTTCCAATAATATATCAACCTACTCTCCTTAATCTAACTTTAGAATGTGGCAAAAGATTCGAATTTTGACAACTGATCTTTCATTAATCCTTTAACGTAGGATGTTTCGAAGATTTCTGTAAACACAAATTTCTGGAATACGTACATAATAATTTTTCATTAGAAATTTATTAAGGTAAATTTATATTTTTTAAATTTCAATAAACAACATATAGTTATAAATTTATTCGATTATAAATTTGTTAACACTATTTCAATATAAATTTATATCAAGTTATTATTTTCAATTTAGATATAAATACAATGAAAAATTCAAATTTATTTTTATAAATTAAGAACAAATAATATTCTCTCGATGGCTCTATAAAATAGAATATTTAGAATATTTTTATAAACAACATAGAACTTTTTAATAATTAAATACTGCCACAATCTACTATTTTTAATTTAGTTATAAAATTCCTTCTTAGACTCAAAAAATGAAACAAAATATTCCAAAAATTGTTACAAATGCCGCAGAATTTTTATTAATTTACACAGTTTCAATATACAGCAGTAGCAATCTCCTATTATCATCCTAATCATAAAATAAAAATAAAAAATTCAATTTTCTTTCTGAAACATAGTGACGAAAGATATACTAGATCCAATATTCAATAAAATAGAATATTTAAAATATTTCTCTAAACAACAAATAATTTTTATCAACTATATACTATTTCTACTTTATTTGTTTACAAACACGAATAATAAAATCCCCAACGTAATGTACCCACATAAACCTCATAAATATAAATAAATAAATCTTAAATATAATTAAATAAATATTCTACCAGTTGAAAGACTCTAAAAGTGGATCTGGCGTTCTCCATTACAGGTATTGTGCGAGGTGGAAACGGCCATCTTGAACCTAGGGTTGCAAGTTCCCACAGCGCATACGACCAAAATCGTGACGGAAAGCTCGAACTGGGCCAAGGAAGGGGACCTGACGTTGATGTTGATCCAAGACTGGGGCGTGATCAGATTGTATCAGACGTTTCTGAACGCCTGGACGAAAGCCTTCCGGAACGCGACTGCCCCTGGACCAGGCACTTGCGATCCTAATAGGCAGAATCCGGGAGCGACGAACATTAATAGGCAGAATCCGGGAGCCAAGAACAAAGGATCTGGGCCAAAGGGTAAAAGGATATCGAAGATTAAGAAGCAAAAGAGGCCGGTCAGGAAGCATCCGGAGGGCGCCGGCCAGAATAGTTCCTTGCCTCAGGGACCAAAAACGGGTATTCCGAGGAACAGACTGCTGAGAAACAAACAAAAGAAGCTCGCGGGGATGTGATGAAATTCGTCTCGCAAGGTTTCTCATCATTTTCTAGAGATCTATCGATTATCTTAAAGGGACGGTTAACAGGCAACCTCTTTACCTTGTGGCAAAGAACTCTCTATCATCGTGACTCGAACGTATTCGACGTGTCACGCTTTACATTTTCTCCAAGTATTAACTTAAATGGCATTTAAGACAACCGTGTGGAAGACGCGTAAATCCTTTAGTTCCTTTTTAGACACTTCGAGATTCGTGCGTATTATTATCTCTCTTATTATTATTATTTTTCCTTTTATACGATTTCTCTATTTAAGCTGAAGAAATTATTTGCCTGTCAATCTTCCACAGGGGAACTTTTCTCTTTTTAACGCTCTACGAATTGTCATTCACACGCATATATTATATATACATAGATATATATTTCTTATTTATTTTATCGTTAACGATCATACATAGATGCTTAGTATTCTGCAATCTTGCCAGTTTGTTCCGATGGTGTACAGTTTTAAGGGAGTTTCGCGATAGAATTAGACGGGAACAAGAATATGGCCGTTTCGTTTTACGACAACTGGTGCATTCGATTAGTTCTATCGAAAGCGGTTATCGAGAATCAAGCTGTATACTAGAGACCAGTATTAAGAAGTGTACTTCAGAACAGTATTACGTTAAATAACATACTTAAATAACTAGAGTAGCGAGTAACATCGATGAATATGAAATGAAAACGGGGAAAGTGGGGTCCCATTTCTATGGAGCATTTCGATCGATCTGTTTTACCGGATGACACAATGTCACGCGCTGTCATCGTGCACGCGTATGCGCGATAGAACGCGCGAAACGAGAAGACGAAAGAGCAATCGACCTGCGGAAATTGCGGCAGAGTCGACGAACAGGTGACTAGGGAAAAATTCGAATTCAAATTTCCAACGATTTAGGGTAGCATTCTCTCTCTCTCTCTCTCTTTCTCTCTCTCTCTCTCTCTCTCGCTCGGAAAAGTATCGGCAAAAATCGCAATTGCAAAAGTGCGCGCGTATTTTGACACGACAATTTCGATAATTGACCAATCGTTGGCTGGTTACGAGTCGATAATGGAGCTCGGTGGTATCGATGTTTCGAAACGTGGACGAAAGTGAGGAGTGACGGAGAGCGATCGTAACAGTCATCGATTTAATCACATGAACAGGACAAGGTTCGTCAAACTTATTTATTGTAGCTTTAACGTGGGCAGACGAAAAGCTTAATGTCGTTTAGCTGTGATATCTTGAGCGTACGCGGACGTACAGAGTTCCTACGTTTTATACATAGGCGCATTATATATTTGTAAGTAACGTGCGTTTACGCGTACAACACGTACTTAGAACGTAAATACCATTACTTCTACTTTTTATCCCACTTATCCACCCCCGCCCCAATCTCTAAGACCCTGAAATCCGTAGAATCTCGTCTTGTCGCCAACATGACAACTTCATCTTACCCTAATACCTTGCTTCTTACCCAGTATGCTTGTCCAATCGTACACGACGGACTTACTTAGCACGTTAGACACGTGTACAGTAGAGACCTCAGAAGGAGTCGGTCGAGATAAGGCAATGTTCGCAGAAGTGTCTCTTATCGATGAATATCGTTCGTTTTCTTTGTTGCACTTCGTCTCAGAGATGGAGAAAATTCTCGTGTGCTCGTTTTCACGCGAGTGGACCAACCTTACAACAGCTTCCGATCGATTGCCAATCATGGCCGACTGACTCCTTCCGAGGTGGCTGCAGTACGCGTGAGATGGGACCGTTTAACGAGGCGATTCTCGTCCTCTTTGTTACATTCTGTTATTCGGACCAGACGATGGGAACGACGATTTCTTTAACACGCGAATAACGTGGGACCAATGTCGAGGACTCGGCTGAGTGCGCTTGCGCGCACCGGTGGCGCTAGTAGTAGTCGCGTCACACTTGGTTAGAGGTATTAATTGTATTAAAGACAATCAATGTTTCGTATCGAGCCGGTACTTATTAGGTATACACATGTACTTTTTAACGTTAGATATTTTTCTACTTGGTATTCACGCACGATGTGATTGCCGAACATTTTATACACGCACACGTAGACCTTAAGGATTTCACTTACATCTTATCGAGTATACGTAGTAGGTATATTTATTCTGGCGTACACGTAGGCGTACATAACGTTACGATTTATTTATTATATCACGTTACCATCGCATATATTATTTATTGTCATTTCTGTACTTATGTAATCGTCTCGAATAAATTCGATGTTTTTGTATTGAATATATTGCTCGTTCGGATTTTATTTAATTCACCCTTCCCTTTAATTTATTTATTTTCACGGATGGTTCGATGATGCTGACCGAGGTTTCGCGTCGATTGCAAAATTTTCTGTTTATATGCAGCTTCGGAGTTTAATAAATTGTATCAGGATTTTATAAACCGTTCGCGTCATTCGCCTTTAATCAGTTGACGATCGTTATCGATACTGTGTCGGTAGAGGTGTATACGTGTGTTGCCAGATAAATGTGGTGGGGCCGCGAGTTTGTGTGGGTCACTAGTCGGAGTTAAATAAACAAAAATAAAATAATTGCCAGAGAAAGTAAATAATATATTTATCTGGCTAGGGAATTTTTCTGATTAAATAGGAAATTAAAGAAAGTAATTTTAAATGAATAATTACATACGAACGAAAATGTTGATTAATAATTTATTTATAAATATTCGATACCGTACCGTTTAAATTATTCGTTTGATAAAACAATTGTATCGATATTACGTTATTTAAATAATCAGTTGAAAAATTTTATTCTTAATATTTGTTATTAAATAGGATAAGAATAAAAAATTGATTAATAATTTATTTATAGATACCAAAGACAATTTTACTTAAATTATTCGGATAATAAAGCAATTCTATAAAGAGTATATTATTTAGGAAATCATTTGTATAATTCTATTCCACACGTTTATAATTAAATATGATGTAAATAAAAAAGTTAAGTAAATTTATTTATAAATAATGAATGCAATTGTATTTAAATTATTAGCTTGATAAAACAGTTAGATGAATAATATGTTACATGAATAACAATTTATATAATTTTATACTACATTTATTATTACGGAGATTTATAATGCAAGCATAACGAATGTTTAATTAATTCGTGATAAATTTTCATTACATACTTAACATATTACGATTTATTTTGCATTCATTGTAATTAATATTTATTAAACCTACATTCAGTTTCAATTTGCTTGCAGTCAGTCATAATTACAGCGTAATAATAATCTCTTTAATAATGCAATGGACCGTTGATAATAAATAATTAAAAACAATTCGCAGGAAATAATTTTCAGTACTAATTTAGGTATTTAATATTTAATTGTCAATATTTTAGGATGTTATTGTTGACTTTGTCAAGTGTTTTTGTTCAATTTAAATTGTTACAACATTTAGATTTTCCATTAAGCCCTTCACGGACCTTAATCAACCCGAAAAGTACCCTGAACAACAGGTCCAGTACCAGGAGTGCACGAAGGGTAGGAAAGTTGTAGCCGATATTCATTACCCTTTCCACACTCTCAAACATAAACGTTTACATGTTGCACCAGAGTATTATCCACATAATAATTTTTCAACGTATGTTTATTAATTTACTTCGATTATTAAAGCATCGATATCTTTCTGTTGAAATAAAACGGAAGAAAAATATACACTACTGTACTAATGTTTCTTTTGCAAATTTCAAATGTAATTGCATATCATATTTTTATATTATATTTTAATACATTTAATTTAAAAAAATATAAAAATTGAATTTATTAATAAAATAAAATTTAAATAGGAATAATAATTTAATAATAAATATTACATATAAATATACAAGGTATATGGTAAATAAAAATTTATGATATAAATAATTTAATAAACAGAATAATAATTAAAAGATAAATAGCTCAAAAGTAATTTTTTACCATTATAGTGAATATCTTTCACAGAATTCAAATTTCTTGTCGGTAATAACAATATTAACAATACAAAAATGTAATAAGTCTTTTGCAAATTTCAAATGTAATGGTATATCGGATTTTTATATGATATTTTAATACATTTAATTTAAAAAATGAAATTTATTAATAAAATAAAATTTAAATACGAATAATAATTTAATAACAAATATAACGTATAAATACACAAATACATGACAAATAAAAACGTATAATATAAATAATTTAATAAAAAGAATAATAATTAAAAAATACATAGCCCAAAAATAAATTTTTATCATTATAGAGAATATCTTTCATGAAATTCAAATTTCTTGTCAGTAACAACAATATCAACAATAAAAAATTTTAACAAGTCTTTTGCAATATTGTTTAATATCGATCAAAATTATTTCACGATTATGCAAAAATTATTCTACAACTACAAAGGCAATGACTATATCCTTAATTTTTATTTTACTTTACTTTAATCTTAAATAATTATTAGTTTAATAATATTACTAACAATAATCCAACAATATTAACAATAAAAAAATTTAACAAGTCTTTTGCAATATTGTTTAATATCGATCAAAATTATTTCACGATTATGCAAAAATTATTCTACAACTACAAAGGCAATGACTATATTCTTAATTTTTATTTTACTTTACTTCAATCTTAAATAATTATTAATTTAACAATATTACTAGCAATAATCTAACAATATTAGCAATAAAAAAATTTAACAAGTCTTTTGCAATATTGTTTAATATCGATCAAAATTATTTCACGATTATGCAAAAATTATTCTACAGCTACAAAGACAACGACTATATTCTTAATTTCTACTTTACTCTACTTCAATCTTAAATAATAATTTAAAACCAGAATATTATTCGAGCAAGATATACCTACAGCGAAACGTAAATAAATTCTTCGTTTCATCGATTTAATTAAAAGAATTAATAAGAAACTTTGTACCATTGCTCCTAATATCTCTCGAAATTCGAATCTTCAAGA